TTCCGACCCCAAAAATACAGTCTGACAAAGGTTAATGAATTATTTTAATTTAGAATGCGGGTAGAAAATGCTCGAGAGCGCTTTGATTTGAGCATTATTGCGAATATATCGTCACACATCGCTCGCTCTCAGCCTCGTCGCTGATCATGAGTTTTCGTAGTGTAGTGGTTATCACGTGTGCTTCACACGCACAAGGCCCCCGGTTCGATCCCGGGCGAAAACAGTCTTTTTTTGGCGGAATTCTCTTTTGGAGATCGCGAAGAAATCGTTGAGAAAGTGATCTTGAAAACACTCAGAATATTTACACTAAATTAAGAGTTCAAAACTGGCAAAGAGTTCATCGCAAAAATCCATGATTTTTCCAAACAGAAACCACAATCGATAGTGAATCACTGGAAAATTAATGGGAATTTCTCCCGAAATCTGTTGGGAATTTTTATTATTTTTCCTATCAGTTTCAATGTGAAATTGAGGCATACAATTAATGCAACCCAATAATAATAATAATAATAATGAAAAACCGCAAACAATAATATTTCTGCTTAATACAAATTCACAATTCTCTTGGAACTGTGGTTTTCAATTGACCAGAAGCATGTCAATTGGAATTCATATATAAATGGCATTCAGTTTCGTGGCTTTTGTTGTGATTTGCCAATTGAGAAATTTACCATGCCATAATTCATCGTGGCGCTCATTCTTAGGACAATGGAATCATCCCTTGTTTGATGTACATTGTGAGTCCGAGGTGGGGATATTAGATGAGATTTCCGGCCTAAAGTCAATTCAATTTGGCGCCCTCCAGAACAATGATGTGAATTAATGGATTTGTCTGGTTTCAGCACAACTCCTGGAATTGGAATTGAAATCCCGTGGCATTTCACGCCGGAAGTGCACAAAAATATTTCATTCTCTGTGTATGCTGGAGTTGATAAAAATTCCCCTTCATGGTTTCTGCATTTTGTCCAGTTGGGTGACTGGAAAAATTGCAACAAATTCACCAACAACAACAAAAAAGGCAATTGGATGGTGTGAATGACTGCAGAAAGAGAGCATTTACTGGTGACCGGGCAGAAAAAAATATCCCATGCAAATCTCTTTGAAGTGAAATGCCATAGAATTCTTCCTCTCTTTTTTTTTCCTGTGGTGAAAAGCAGAAAATTAAACCGCACTGAAATATCAGAGAACGGAGATGGTCAAGAGTCAGGAAACATAAAGAAACTACGAGTAATCCCGGCTTCTACATATTTTAATGCTCAAAGATGGAAAAGTCCGGGTAAATCTGTGTCTCATTTCTCTTTGTCCGTCCCATCTTGCCTCAAAGGCCTCGAGGATGATCCTAAATATTCCCCAATGCGAATCCCACAAATATGAATGGTGGCCCATAAAGTTTTGCGTCCGTCATCATCGTGTGCGCCCCTCGAATGGGTCCTGGATGGCCGCTTTCCGCCCACGAGCCATCGTCCTCATCATCGCAATCGATCATTTGGCGATGAGGTAAGGGAAATGGCCGTGATTCGCGCTCTCTCTCAGCCCATTTGATGTATGCCGGCAAATGTACGCAAATAGCATTCATTATGGATACAAAAACTTTTTTCCTCAGCCATGCAGATTTTCCGGGCGCGCCGGGAAACTTTTGAAGCTGGCTTTTCCCAAGTGTTGAAAAGAATCAACTTCGTGAGCTTTCAACCTTCAGCGTGTGTCGGTTAATGACTCTTGACGTCACTGAGATAAGAGCTTTCGCGGGGGACTTCTTTCCCCGCCCTGGGGTGAGTTTACCTTCGCCATCTCGTGGGCTCATTAATCCCCCTCGCCCCCTCGCCAGAGAGTCGACTTGGGAATGCTGGGAAATCCTTTAAAAAGTCCCTCCTGGCTGCCTTGAGGCTGTGCTGAGCATTTTGCTGGTCTGACGGTTCATTAAATCACTCCCGAAGGCGAGCTTACATGACAAGAAGCCCTCTAGCGACTGATGGCAACTCCCCTTCGGCATCACAATATATTCAAATGCCTTGTAAGATGGCTCTTCGAATCCTATATAAATGCTAATTTTATGGTCAATATTTCGGCCAGTTTAGGCACCACACCAGCACAATTTATTAGAGACAATTCCTATAAATTAGAGAGCAGCGTCTCCAAACGATTTTCCATATGAATACTGAAAGCAAGACTGAAAGCCGAGAAGTTGATGTACATTTTCAATGTTAATCGAATCACATGGCTTATTCTGTTGAATTTTGAGGCGCAATCAACAAGGGAAATTCTGGGAGAGAGAGAAACATGGAAAAACCTAACTAATCCGATAAATGCTCGGCCGAGCTTTTGAATTTGATTTTCCACGCTGCAGCTTTAAGGCGCACACAACCCTTGAGAGATTGGTCCGAAGGGTATTCCGGACCGAAATGAATAATTATGCGGAGGATTCGTTTGCAGATTTTCCTGCGCTGGTGGCGAAATTTCTCTGGGGATTTCCAACTATTGCCAAGGCAGAACGATTATATTTGGACATTGCCAGAGAGATGGCTCATTGAATAGAAATAATAAAGAAATATGCCTTTGCCCAGAGGCGGAGGCAAAACCTTTTGTGTGTGCCTTCTTCATGTGAAATTGGATTAAGCGGATTAAGGGTTTTCCTCAGAAGCAGAGAAGGAACCCTTCTTTATCTATTTACACAGAGATTTTTTCTTCCGCACTCTTCTTCTATTCTTTTTGGTTGATGCAAGAAGTTTTTTTTTTATTTCTCCCTCCGTGGAAAGCTATCTTGTTGTCGCTGGGGCGAAATGTGCGGGAATATGAAGAATAAAAGGCAAATAAGAAATGTAAACGAAGGGGATTTCTGTGCCTTCTTTTGAACACACATCTTTCAAATTTCTTGCTCATGAGATATTCGGATAAAATTTTAATTTCTCAGCCTCTCCGGCGCACAAACATTCAGTCTCCGGGTGGTGATTCAATTGGACAGAAAAGTGAAAACTCATGAAAAATGCACACTTTCTGTTACACAGCGAAACACTATAACAGAATACGAAGGGAAGATGTGATCTCGAAAATGTCCTTTGTCATCTGTGCACAGTTGTACGGGAAATTAGGTAAATTTTGTCTGACTTTCTTGTCTTCCAAAGTCGAAAATTTTCCCCCCTTCACGGCAACTGGTTTGTATTCCTATTTATAGAGCTCCAGATGAGTTTTCACTCTGGTGAAATGTTGCAGTGAATCAAGGGGACCGGAAATTGCCTCCCAAAATGAAATTCATAAATCATATTCCAAGTTGAGAGAGGTTGATGGTCAAATAGGGGGATGATGACCTGGGGAGAAAATTGGAAAGTTGAGAATTTCTGCTCTTCGCAATTAATAACTCCATCAGGAATTTGCGACAACAACTCTTGGCAAGTTTGTCAGGTCTCTCAGGAGACTTTTCCCTTCGCCAAACCACTCCTAATAGCTCACAGACTAATGCACTTCGTCCTGATAATTAGCATTAAATAGCGAGTGGGCGGGGCATTAAAAGGGGCGGAACTTCTTATTAAAATGAAGGAAAACACTTACAATATTGACTATAGTTGTTATATTGAATTGAACCTCTTAATTTGCTTTTCTAACGCTTCTCAATGTGCCAGCAGCACCATTTAATTTCTCTGATTTCATGAATGTCACTTGCTTCTCCGACTCTCTCTCTCTCTCTCGACGTAATGTAATTAAAAATTACCATCAAGTATTCGACATTTCCACCAGTCATTGACATTAAATGTATAATCGAGCTTTCATTTGCTCTGCACTTGTTGAAGGAGAAACGAGAAATCTTCACCAAATGGCTTTAGTTGCAAATATGTTTGCAGATTTTATTTTTCATTGAGTTTTTCAATCATTTGCACTTCAGAAACTCATTTAGCTCTTCATTAAAATTTAATTGAACGTCTTACTGAAAATGAATTCACTGTGTTTGAATGAGAGAAATCGTCAGCTTTTGATAAAATTAAAGATTTTCATTTTAAAGAAGCTCCGCCCATTTTAATGCTCCGCCCATCGTCACATGATTTAAGAAAATTATTGTACTAACTCAATTAGTGAGTTAATGGATGCTTAGAGGCATTTTTTCCTTGCTCAGTCAAGGTTACCGACGGCATTTGGCATGATAAATCGCACAATAATCCTGCAAACCTTGTAATTGTCGAGAGTTGGCCGAAGAAGTTCTCTCAGTGGGTTTATTTCACGTGCTCAATGATTAATTGCCATGATTTGAGAAGGAAATATTCTCGAGGGAACTTTTCTCGAATGTAAAGTTTTCACACCTTTTTGCTAACAGCGAAGGCCACTTGAGGAAAATTGGGAGAGATTCATAAATTTTCATAATCCGTGCCCTTCTTCTCCTTCTCTTTTCGATTCTTTTTTATCACACAGACACTTTCCCCGGGGTCAGTATTTTGGGGATAAGTGATCACGAAGTCCAGAGAAGAAGTGTGGTGATGGAAATGGTTTCAATTAGCACAGATGGGCTTTGAGTTCCATTCAGAAATGAAAACTGATGGTCTTTTCCACAACAAATTAGGCTCCGCGTGTAAACTTGACCCACAAAATAAAGGCATCGGCGAGTGTTGAACTTTGAGAGAGGGAATTGGATGAGGCAAAAATGGGTTGATCGAACACAAATCATTGTTAATTCATCAGCCAAGTTTCAGCAGACCTTTAGTCGGAGAGCTTTCCATTTCACTTTCTCAAACTGTGCCACACACACTCTTATGGCATTTCCTCCGCATCGTGCCGAGAGGAATATTAATAACTTTCACGTCCTGATTGGATTTGTACACCTGGACGAAATATCTGTCTGTGAAAAATTCATTCTGCGTCCCGACGCGATGGTGAGATATAAATTTGAGGATTTATGACGTCTGCAACCTCATTCGACTGCACAGCGTGGCAACATGAGGAGCTTCCGCTGGGTTCTCGTGCTCTGTGCAATTGGTGGAGTGAACAAGTGCTGGGCGGATGACTTTCCCTCCCTCATCACAGCCAACGCCACAATGGGTGAGTGCCAGATGCCAGAGATCACCAGCGAATTACGAGTGTGTCTCTTCACTCCCACAGCCATCATCCTGGACCAGGAGTACCTGGATGCGCGGTATGATGCGGTGTACACAGAAGTGCAGGTGATAATAGAGCGAATCCTGCGGGAGGATCTCAAGAATGGTGGCTTGTATGTCACGTACTACTCCTGGACGGCCGTCAATCTCAAGAAGGACTACATGGCTGTGCTCACGGTGACGAACTGCGACAACACCTGGAAGGTATTCCGCGAGGCCAGAGCTGAAACACTCCTCTTGATGGCCCTGACCGATCCAGACTGTCCAAGACTGCCGCCAGAAGAAGCAATCATGGTGAGAATCTGCCGAAATTCCTTTGAAATATCCTCATATTCGTGCTCTTTTAGATTCCCATCACGAGCGGCGGCGAGGAGCTTCCCCAAGTCTTGCTGGACTTGAAATCCTCCCAGGCATTGCGCTGGAAATCCTCCATTGTCCTGCACGATGACACCTTCGCTCGCGACATGATCAGCCGCGTGGCCATCGCGGTGACGACAGAGTCTCCTGATGGATATGTGAAGCCTATGTCAGTGTCTCTGTTCAAGATTCGCGCCCACATCCAGGAGTGGGAGCGCAGAAAGTCCATCCGCAGAACACTTCTGAACCTCCCGACGAACTACATCGGCAGGAACTTCCTGGCCATCGTCACGACGACTATCATGGAGAATATCATGGAAGTGGCGAAGGATTTGGGCCTGGTAGAGCCCTTCAGTCAGTGGATGTACGTGATTTCAGACACCAACTCAGAGAAGAACAACATCTCTTCGGTGCTGCCGCTGATTGGCGAGGGTGAGAATGTGGCCTTTGCCTACAATGTGACGGACAAGCAGAAGGACTGCAAGGCGGGAGTCCAGTGCCACTGTGGTGAGCTGCTGAGAAGCTTCGTGTTGGCACTGTCCAGGATGATCAGGGAGGAGAAGGCGGTGTACGGCCAGATATCGGACGAGGAGTGGGAAACCATCAGACCGTCGAAGAAGGAGAGGCGAGATTCGCTGCTGGAAACCATGGTGGTGAGTGTCTTTGTTCGTCCTTCGCAATCTTGATGACCCAGCGAAAGCCGCCTCCTCTCTCTCTCTCTCTCTGGCAGAATCAGCTCAAGACCAGCTCAGTGTGCTCCAATTGCACCACGTGGAAGATCCAGACGGCAGAATTCTGGGGCACGGAGTACCAAACGAATGCCGACAGCAAAGTCCCCCAGAGTAAGCGAAACCCCTTGAGTTATCTGATGGGGAGTGACTGTGAGAGATTTCTTATCTGCCCCAGATTACGTGGAGGAGGAGTGGAGTACCGTAAATAGTGCGCCGAGATCCACAAAATTCCTCGATGTTGGCACATGGAAGCCCAACGATGGAGTTCAGTTGAACGATGTTCTCTTTCCGCACGTGTCGAATGGCTTTCGCCGGAAAAATCTTCACATTGTCACATATCACGTGAGCCACCTTTCCACACACACACACACACACGCACACAACTCCTGAGTCTGATGGAGATTTGTGACACTTTTCCCACTCTCCTGCAGAATCCGCCATGGCAAATTATTGCGTACAACGAATCCGGTGTGCCGGGCGTAATGCGAGGCGTCGTGATGGATATTCTCAACGAGATGGCCAAGAAGCTCAACTTCACCTACACCATGCACATCATCCCTGTGGCCGTGCCCAAGGCGAACGACACCGAGGAATTGAGTTACAATGTGAGTGCAGCCCCTTAAGCATCCCCGGCATAGTTGGAATTTTATGTCCCATCGTGAGTCTGCTAATTAAGAGTTGCTTTATTAGTTGAGAAATTCTCGCCAGAGCCCCAATTTATGCACCCTTCCGCCAGGACGCTGCCAGGAAGTCTCTCTGTGCAAATTAAGGTGGATAGAGCAGAACTGAGAAAGGGAGGAATTTTGCATTAATTAAGAAAAAAAAATCCATTAAAAAGACCTCGCTTAACCTGTGTATGGATTCAATTAGTTCGCTTTGCAAATACTGGAAAATATGAAATTCCCGTAAAAGTGCAATTCTTTGTGTGCTTCCAGAACAAATATTTCGCTTAATATGCAAAATTTAATTGTAAAATCTGGCTGTATGAATTTTATGAGCAGAAAGAATATTTTTTCCAGTCAAGTTTTCATATAATTTTTCAAACTTTCAACACCTCCATGCTTAAGAATGTCTAATGAAGATGAATAGTGATGAATTTGCGCACTAAAACGGCAATTTTTCATCCAATAAACCAAAAAGTTTTATAAGATTACGTCTTGATTCAAGTTTCGGTTAATAAAATCTGCCTAAAAGCCCAGATTGCACGATTCTCTACCATCTGAGTTGCTAATGAGTTATTTTTCTGAAATGAGTGATGCAAAGAGCGTCATATAATGCGATGTTGTAATGGATTAAGAGCAGAAATTTATGCTCAGTGAGTTCTTTTCTTCGCAATGTTCTCTCAACTATAAAGCTACAAATGAGCAATGTTAATTATTTTCCTTCACAAAAGCGGTGCTCTTGCTTCAAGGGTTAGTGTTGTGAGTTTGCAACTGAGCCAATGTTTCCCATTTGGCCAACACACTTCCTTGTGTTACTCTGCCTTGTGTGACTTTGGCAAAAGGATTAGAAACTCAAATAATTAACAAAGCAAATGGCACTTTTTAAACTCTCCTAAGACACCACTTGAGCGAGACTTGCTCACGCTTAATGACGGAAGTGGTGGGAAAGCATTTTCTTAACGATCTCCGCTCGTCTTGCAGTCCACAGAGGAGGGCCAGCTTCCCACCACCACGATTCCACTGGAGATTCTCAACCTCGTGAGTCAGGACAAGGTGTTCCTGGCGGCAGTTGGTGCCACTGTCAATGAGAAGTACAAGAGATTCATTAACTACAGCATCCCCATCAGCATTCAGCCCTACAACTTCATCGTCTCCCGACCACGCGAGCTGAGTCGACTGTATCTCTTCATGGCGCCCTTCACCACTGAGGTAAAGTGTGTCAATTAATTGATTATAAAATGCTATTTCTGCGCTCTCTCCGCAGACTTGGCTCTGCCTCGCAGCTTGTCTGGTCATTATGGGACCGCTGCTGTACTTAATCAATCGCTTCAGTCCGTTCTACGAGCACAAAGGCTACGTGGTGGCGAAACTGGGTCTGAACAGAGTGAACAACTGCTTCTGGTACATCTACGGCGCTCTGCTGCAGCAGGGCGGGATGTATCTGCCCCAGGCGGACAGCGGACGGATAATCATAGGCACCTGGTGGCTTGTCGTCATTGTCTTGGTGACAACGTATTGCGGCAACCTCGTGGCCTTCCTGACCTTCCCCAAGATCGAGATTCCCATCACGACTATCGGTCAGTTGGTCAACAAGCGCTCCTTCGTGTCCTGGAGCACAAAATCGGGGAGTTTCCTCGAGGAATTCCTCGCAGAGACGGACGAGCCGAAGTACAAGCGCTTGCTGGACGGCATGGAATTCCAGACGGAGGCTACAAACGAAATCATCGAGAGCGTTCGGCAGGGGAAACACGTGTACATCGACTGGAAGAGCAACTTGCAGTACATCATGAAGAGGGAGTTCCTCGTCAACGACCGCTGTGACTTCGCCCTGGGCGTTGAGGACTTCCTGGACGAGCAAATCGCCATCATTCTGCCCAGAGGCAGTGCATATCTGAACCTCATCAATGCCGAAATCACGCGCCTGCACCAGATGGGCTTCATTCAGCGCTGGCTGAAGGAGTATCTGCCGAAGAAGGACCGCTGCTGGAACGTGGGCAAGGCCATCGAGGTGAACAATCACACGGTGAATCTGGATGACATGCAGGGCTCATTCCTGGTGCTGTTCATCGGGTGCGTTCTGGGTGCTTGTGTCATCATTCTCGAGTGCATGTGGTTCAAGAGGCGTGAGATCAAAGAGCAGGTCATCATTAAACCATTTGTTAAGTGAGAAAACACCCCTGCTAAATACAGAAGGAAATGTCGGAAAAAGGCCTTTCACTCCCATGAAGAGAGAAAGAACTTTCCTGCAAGTCACTCAGAAAATACTGCCAACTTCCCTGAGGGGTGAAAAAAGTGATTTTCATGCCTTGTCCTCAAGCGGAGACACTGAGAGGAAAGCACAAGGAAATTTCACCGCTCCCTTTTTTCCCCCAACACCCACCAGATGTTACCCTTTTCTCAACCCGACACTCAATTAACCAAATTTCACGTCCCCCCCGCCAGACGCGCTTCGCCCCTCGGGAGGCGCCCGGGTTCACGAGGAGAGAGGTGTTGAAAAAAGTGGTCGCCTGGGATGCGAAAGGGGTGCGCAAGAAGTGTGTGTCAGGAGCGATTGAGGGTCGCAGGTGGGCATCAAAGTCCCCGAAGAGCACCATTCAATTTGAGTGACTCGCCTCACAATTGCAGAAATCCAATTAATTATCCTCTTTCAGAAGGATCCAATTCAATTAATTAATGCACTTTGCGATAAACAACATTGCACACTCTTCCCCTGCCATCGAACTTCAAATTAAACAGCCACTGCGAAACGACGTGAATTTCAATTTACAAGCTTAATGCGAGATTGATGTTGGAATTTTTTAATGAATACCATGTTTTTTTCTCCCCCCCCTTCAGTTTGATGAATAAGTTATTACGTGATTCCCAATTATAATAATCATTATTCCTTCTCGTGATTAAGTGTCAAGAGAAGAGCGTGCGAAATGCTGGAAAAACTCCCTCCTTGGCAGCGTTGATCTCTTCTCTAGCGACTGCGAATTTTCCCCATTTCTGCTTCACGTCTTATTCTGCTGAAGCCACGACAGATGATTGAGTGTATTATTCAGTGGCTGCCGGCGGACTGTCGTGGGGAAACATGAACGAATGGCCCCTATTAGGATGGGTCATACCTGAAATTTTAATTCACCCCCATTAACATGACCACATGGCTCCAGGAGCACGGAGGAGAGCACTTTGCACGTTTTCCCCACCTAAATGATGGCATCATTAACGTGGCAAGCCACCTGTTCAGCTCTCATTTGGCTCCAATTCTTTCCTTTCCATCCTCAAAGTCGCGCGTCTCAAGCAGTTAATGGGCGACAGTTTAAATTCAGCCAAAAGATTTTCCTCTCTCGCAATCCACATTCAAGCCAACTCATGACCCACATTTTCCCGTTCAGCAAATGTTGCCTCTTTTTTTCTCCCCCCGTCCTCGAGGGCGTGCCACACAACTCCCAAAGAGATCAATAGCGTCATTTCACCCCCAAATCCTCACACTTCACGCGTGTGTCGCCATGTGAGCCTGGGCTGTGGGGTGATTCTTCCTCCGCCGAGGGATAAAATAAATTAAAAGTTTACATCCTCCGAGACAGTGGTTTGGGGGGGGGGTGAGGAGTGCCAAAGCACTCCCAAGGCCCATTTCATTTGGCTGGTGTATATATGCGGAAGGGACGAAAATAGAGGAGAAATTCACTTTAAATTGTTTTCTCCAGCACATTTTCTCCCCGGGAAAACTTCCACCACGACAAATCTCCAAAGGCGGAGCGGCTTATTTCGGAATCTCCCACAATTGTAATTTGTAGCTGAGCATCATGTAAAAGTGCTATGATTATTGAAATTAACTGCAGTGGAAGGAAAACCGTTGGCATATTTTACGAGGACATATATAATTACTCATTTGCCATACTTTTTTTTGGCATTCTCCTGCGAAACACACTGTTGAGCGTGAGTGAAAAAAGAGAGGCTAATGAATGGTCGGTGGGTTAATTTTGAGTCTACAATTGGGCACGTCGTTCAATGAAGGCGCGCACGTGACAAAAAAAAGAGGGATGTCGTCTGGTGAAATTAAATGATAATTTTATGGTTTAGCAGAAATTCATGGGACAGCGTGAGGAAAAAAGAGGATCTGTATGATGGACGATTGCGCCAAAATGCGCGGAAAATGCGAAGGGATGGGCAACACGAGCCGTGCGGGTATTTGAGATAACAATGTCAGGGGTGTGATGCAAAGCAACTCCGGGGAGGCCTCATAATTCACCCTGAGCGATAAGCCTTTGACACTCATGGCACCAGGAGGACTTCCCAGTTGCGGTTCCACACGCTACGTATTGGTTTCAAGAAACTGTTTCCGACCCATAACGCTTATGGGTAATTTACATTGGATGCGTTTCACTTTTACCTCGACGAAACAATTTCCTGAAATGTCTCGGTAGGTAATCATCCCTTTTTTTATTGCCCCTACGCTCGGGCGCGGAGGGCAATAAACCTCGAAGAAAAAAAAAAGGATAATTGCCGTCCGAGACATTTCAAGAAATCGTTTCGTTACTAGTGCAAGAAATAATTTCATACTTACTACAGGAAACAATTTCGTAATTCAATCAAGAAATATTTTCATTCCTATTGCAAGAAATAATTTCGTAGTTATTTCTGGAAGCAATTTCGTATTTATTTCTTGTATGGAATCCAATACAATTAAAATATATAATTTTGTCCAAACGGCAGTGTTGATTATGCTGAATCTGGCCACCTTAAGTACTCTCCGGCGTCATCTTATCCCGGATTCCGTGAAATTTCCCGCGGCTTCATTGTCCATCTGAAAAACGATAAAATTATTAAATTTTACTGTTTATACGCGCAGAATTTAGATCAAATTTTCTCTCAATTTATTTTACAACAGCATAATCAATGCACATTTTGAAAATTCACCAAAATGTACTTAAATAAATGCAATTTTTCTCACCTTATTATCCGATGAAGAACTGCACTCTGCTCGTTCTGCATTCAACCACGACCAGAACTCAACTAAATCGACAACTCAGATGAGTTTTAGTGAAGGAATTTCCCAACATTGCTTCATCCCGACACCCGAGCCTTGTTTTATGACCCTTTTTTTCATACTTTGCATTTTCTCTGCCTATTTTCTGTAAAACAGATGTTTTATTGCACTACTTTTCTCCCTCGAGCGCATCATGGAATTTTGAACCGGTTTCAGGTATTACGAGAAACTCTTCCGTAAACCATACGGAGGCATTTCTTGACCACATTCGGAAATAGTAAGAATACTTGGTCTTACTCGTTTCTCCTCTGAGGGCAATCAGGTAGAGTGCCGAAAATTGGGTAAATTTTATGAGGGTCTGAGAGGTCTGAAATTTCTGTGGGCCATAAAATTTAGGGACACCATATGGCTTATTCTATACATGTTTAATCTGTGAAACAAGAACGAAAGCATTTCTTGTTGGGAATCAGAAACTGAAACCTTTCTCATTTGTATCATGTTCATAGTCGGAGGGCAATAAGGTATTATTGCTCTCCGATTGCCCTCAGAGACAGAACAGGAAACAAATCCGCAACGGTTTCACATCCACTACCGATGAGTATCCGTTTCTTGAAACCCTTACGTAGCGTGTGGAACCGCAACTGGGTTCCTACGACAATGACACGACCCACATTTTCCCCCCATTAAGTTCCGTCGCCCCATTTCAGCAACTTGTTCTCTGCACTGCAATTATTCCCTATGGCAACTGATGCCTTCCAAAGGTTCTCATCACACTTTGACTGGCCCAAGACTGCCGCCAAGGGGTGGATAATATGCCTTAAATCTGTACACCACTTCCAAACACTTCCAAATTTGTCTGACACTTCTGGAACGTGAAATTTGCAGTCGGTTTCCTTATAATTTCCCAAATTATAATGAATCTCTTGAGATTCCATTTGACATTTCCAAAAAATCGACTTAAAACCGCTGTTTTTGGACATTTTTTCTGATCATAACCCCGAAAATATAATTAGGATATCCTTAAAAACCCCGTTCGAAAACTTTCCAGATCACAAAATTATCTCTTATGATTTGCCAATGATCCTAAAATTGTCTGAATGGACATTTTTCAAGTAAAAATGACTATTTTTGAGGTTATGTCCAATCTTAGTACAATTTGCACTGTTTCTTGGTATCAAAGGATCAAAAAAGCAGTGTTAATTACTTGAAAATGCTTATTTCTGCAACGGACTAGCAGAATTTTTGTGCTAGAATGCGAATTATTCACTAAATCTGCTCTCAATTCGTTACATAACCTAGAAAAAAAATATTACGTTTGTTTCTGCGTGAAAATTGAATGAAATTCAGAGAATTTAGATGATTTTTAGGGAAAAGAAGCATTTAGGAATGGAATATTGTAGGTTTTTCAACACTTCCACTTCTTAAATACTTCTGCTGAGCTGTACACCACTTTTGACTGTATTATCTTCCCCTTGACTGCTGCCAAAGGACTCCAAGCGGTCGAAGTTCCGAGGGTGGAAAACTACCATGAACTTGTGAAGCGAAATCTAATTGCAATCAAGCTCAATAATAGAGAATTTATTTAACTATACTATATATGGTTTGCTTAGTGCAATTTCCTCTGCAAATCTATAACTATTTAGCCTCACTGTGAATGCTGTATTTCACGTATAAACTTGTGCCTCAAGATTATATATAGAAACTATTGAGTTTCCTTTCATTTGGTGCAAGACATTGCAAGAAAATTCAATTTTAGAGGATAGAATTGACTGCTTTTCACTGCTTAACAAATGAAAATGATCCTTAAAGCTTCTCTTCAGTCCTTACAATCGTGACTTTTGATCATTTGCGCGTGATTATACTGAAATATTCAACAATTAGAAGATTTAATTTGCACTGCAATTCTCAAAATCTCTTAATTAGTCGCCTCTTAGATGATATACAACAGCAAATTTATAATGGAAATTGCCCAAGTGTCTCTATTCTGGACAAATTCTTCAATCGAGCTTTACATAGAACAAGACAGAGAAGTTTCACCCTAAACTTCACGCAATTAAGGGGAGATTGAGGGGAAAGTGAGAAGTTTCTCCCTCGTGGAAACCTCAAAATTCTCTCTCTCTCTCTCTCTCTCTCTCTCTCTCTCTCTCTTTGAACTCTCAGTGAGGAAAATGTAATATTTCAAAATACTCGCGATGTGTTCTGTCCACCCCATTCCAAC